CAGTAGCTGAAAACTCCGTATAAGTGCTTGGTCACAGAAGCTCTAAAGTCCATGTATCGTAAACTTAGTTATTTTGACGTTATTACCTCCTATGAATTACTTTGAAATGCATGAACGAAATTTTATTAACGACAAAGGAATGGTGACCTCTTGCATTAGTCATTGTGAGCGGCCGCAAGTCGTAAGGTTTTCTCTTTCCGCCGAAAACCCAATGGCGCTTTCTTAAGAACCGTTTCGTCTGTCAGATTTTGCAGTAAAACCATCGAACGTGTCCGTGCGAGAAATGGTGACAAAAAACGTCCTGTTCGTCCCTAGCTTTATCGCGGTTTATTTTCTTCTTGAAAAAACCTAGACACAAAAACAGAAACTCGAATGGAGCCGGATTTTTGGGGTCTATAATTAGTCGCAGTTGACCGTTATAAACGGCTGCTTTGTTCAACCTTGACTAGTTCAACTTTTCTTGAACGTATTTTGCCAAAGGAGGTGCCGACGCATTTTGCCATGGGCGAAGTTCTGCAGTCTGCAAATCAGCCACGAACAAAGCAGGAGTACTTTCTAGGAAAACTTTCATCAGCCGACTTGGCGGGAGACCTTCTGTCCACATTCCAGCGCCGGGTTGCATTTGATTGATCGCTGCCGTATTAAGGTTCGAGGTTCGAGTTGCACCATAAAGTATTCATTCTGGTTGAAGCGTTGAAGCGTTGCAGAAGCTCTGAAGAAAGAATACCACCGAGCATTTAATAACAAGATCATCGATTTGAAGCATTTCGTTTTTGCTCGAGTCGTTAGCTGTAACGCCGCGCTGTAATTATTTAATTTGTACGCGCATCGAAGTCGTTGCACACTATCCATGCGTTTGATGCCTTTGGTGAAGACTCCTCTCTGGGGTTGCATAAATGAGAGCTAAATGCTTCATCAGTAAATCTTACGCTAAAATACTGGCGTATCTCGCTGTTTATAGACCCAACCATGCATTCATAAGCGGCAAGACCAAGTGAGGTTACAAGCAATGGGAACTGTAATCATTTGTTGCGAACTCCAGATTCAGTCAGCTGAAACCAAGCAGAGAGCTGTCGGACAGAGCTTGCAAATTTACCACGAAATTACTGCGGTATTCATACTTATTGCAATAAACTGCCGAGTAGAAGTGGCAACAATTTATTAGCATGCTAAAAAATTTGAAACAGCAGCAGCATGCTTATTCCTGATTTGTAGAAATGTGGTTATCGATTACACTGAACTTCATTTACTTTAATCAATGAATCTGAAAAGATCCAGGAGGGTATATCGGAATATGCGGAACCCGAAGATTTACCGAAATCGATACACCATGGAACAACGGCATTCAGGGGTTCTTCATCAAGTCCTTAGAGAATCGAACTAGTACTGTTGGTAGAGTGAAAAGGAAAGGTCAACGTAGAACTTGTACTTTGTTGCGATGTTATGTCACGTCGTTTGGTAGTTTGGCTAATACAGATATGCAAAAAATGAAATGCAAAAATAATCCAAGCACACGGTCTAGCCCAATAAGCTGACGACGAATATATCGACCTGCTCTACGAGAAACTGGAAAACCGACGCAGAAGTTGAATGCTTACATAATTACTCAGGGAGATTCCAACAACTTTGTCAGAACAAGAATAAATCTGGGGTAGACTTTATCAGAAAATGAAGAAAAGGGGAAAAGAAGTGAACTTGCAGATTCTCTTCAAAGCTTTTGCTGAAAGTAACTACTTCCACATCATAATGACGATTCTCCAAAAAACGGAGGAGCCTCAGTCTAGATTGAAGGTTCCAAATAGAGGGGACCCCTGAATCAAATCGGCTACATACTAACGGACAGTAACCAAATTATATTGAGCGAATCAGTCATAAGCGGAAACAGGATCGTCGAACAGGATCATACTGCCAGTTTTAGCGCCCCACAGATAATTTTGGTGTCGCAAAAGAAGATCAGAACAAAGATCTAAACAATGGCGGATATGTTAAGCATGATGAATCGACCTTGAAAACACTTTCGGACGAGATATCGTTCACGCTTCGTTCCCCTGATCTAGAAGCCTAGAGAACCAATTTAGTTGAACACAGCTCCATGGCATATGAGCGCCTTTGCTCGGCTCGGAATATTTAAAATTAGTAAACTTTTGTCAGGAGTTTAAATATCATGGGGCTGTGGCCCGTTAAAATGGCCCCATGATATCTAGGTCCTTACAAACAAATCAGTGATCAATAGCTGAATTAGCGTTGTATAAATTAGACTGTGTCAAGATTTCTGCAACACTGTTTTGTGATGTTCAGGCAGTGTTAGAAGACTATGATTTCAGGCTTAGAGAAAAATCCAATAAAAAAGCCTGTTATGACTAGGAAGCTTAAAAATTTCTCCGTATCTTTAGCACGCATCTATATCGACGATGGACTTTCAGCCGACAGACTTAGACAAAATGATGGGACGAATGGAACTTAAATGAATTCGAAACGGCGTTTGCACGAGTATATCGCCCGAATGGCGATGCTGAAGGATAACCGGTCAACCGAAAATGATTTCCGTCTTTGTCTCAGCAGGTGCATACTTTAACTGGAGACGAAGCCAGTTACAACAATTTTGGGCTGGTCATTCGAAATCCAGGACAGGGGAGGGAAAGTAAATCAAGATAAACTGTTAAGTGTAGCAGGTCGTGGAAACGCAGTGGAAATCATTGGATTAATAACGAAAGTATTGCAAAAAGTCGATCGCGGCTGGAGTTTTCGAGGACATACATCTTGAAATACGATAAACTACGCATGACAATGAAATTGCATTACGTGCTCTGTCAGACTATTTTTCACTACTGATATTATACCAGTAAAGGGAAAGGCGACCCGTACAGAAACACTCAGCTGCCATAGAGGCCACACAACCACGAACCTATACGTCCGAGTTCAACTACGTGATGTTCCCTCCGACATTGCCTGCATCGGAATATGATACAAGGATTTTGACTGAGTTATTCCAAGAGGTCAGCTATGAAAGACTTAGTTTTGGTGTACTTTGCTTTCTGTTCGGGGCGTGGTGGCACAATGGCAAAGCGGTTAGTATCGAACTCTGGGGTGTAGGGTAAAATTTTGAGGGAGAGAAGCAATTTCCAAAAATGGTAATTTCCTTGGTAAGAAACTCATCCAACGATACAACTTGCTTCGATACAACCAGCTGAGAAACAGGTAGCTGGTCGATGACCTAATAACAAAATTTGGGACATGAAGTTGTGGCATGGTATGCTGCTCGATGTAACCGTCTAACAGTGCATCTTGACCAACTGATAGCTGCTTCTTCAACGTGGTAATCAACACGTGTAACACTTTTTGTTGCGACGAATTTTTCGGAGGATCCCGCCTGGATTATATTGGGCAACGTGTTCAAAAACAAAACTGAGGCAGAATGAAACATTCCTGTTTACGTGGTACGCTTTGTTCTAAATGAGTCGTTTCCATTTCAAATTTTTGGGCTTTCCATTTTTTCAAAATGAACAGACGTAAGCACAAAAAGTCTTGGAAATATAACATGTACTCTCTGATGCGCATTTGTGTGCTTAAAAATGAATTGGTACATTACCTTAAAGTGTTTTCGAGCACGTTTTAGTAGGTTCCAAGATCTGTGTCCATAGTCGACACCCCACACTCGTGTTCGTTATCATTACCCAACGTCCGTGATCACCTCTGCACGCCTGCGACCGGAGTACGCTGGTGTTTACCAGATAACCTGACTTTTTTTATAACAGTTGAGTGCGTCCTACAGCTATCCAAGCTTTTCCGACCTTTTTAAATACAGGCTCATCAAAGCCTGGATCTGCTTGTGGAAGATTTCTACGACACAGTAGTAATAAGTAGCAATATCAAGAAACGGGTAACTGTTTTGTGCTCTTTAAATGCGCTGAAATCTTGAGGCGCCTTCTTGTGTTAAAAAAAGAAACGGTGCCATTGAGTTTTGCATAAAACTTCCACATTCGTCCTGTTTTGGAAGCAAATGATTCGATGGAGTACCTTGTTGTTTCCTTTAACTATTTCAGT